CATTCCGCTCTGTGGCTGCTTGACATTCCAGCGGCAAAAAAATGTCGTGTGTAGGCTGGAACCCAAGATTCCCTTGAATCAAACATTGAACTTAGCCATGGATGGTCAGTCAAACCAGCCTTTGTAACCACAATATTCCATTTTGCATCAAACTCATCCTTATTGTCAGTATCCCATATGGCTTTCTGGAATTCACCCCAATACTCCTTATAAGCAGAATGTGGTAACTTAACAGAGAACTTTGATGTGATGTGCCATATGCAAAGTCGATGAAATGTAGTCGGGAAGGCTATTGAAATCGCTCTGCTCATTGCCGCATCTTGATCTGTGATGATCGTTTTAGGTTCGCCACCTGGCATGGCTTTCTTAAACTCCTCAAACATCCAAATAAACGACTCAGTCGTTTCCTTGCTCAAAAATGCGCATGCTAGGACAATTGTTTGACCATGGTTATTAACTCCCAACATTGGTGCAAATGTCAAGTCGTATCTATTCGTGTTGAATGTGGTATCGAATACAACAACATCTCCATAAAACCCGTACGCCCGTCTAGAAGTTGCATCTGCCCAAAAACATCGACTAAACCTGTTATCGCCATCTCCCTCAATCTTGAAATAAAAAGCCTCATTTTTTTTCTGTTCAGCCATAAAATACTCGGTCACTAGTTCAACATCGTGGTTCCTCAGCTTCCCATTCACACTACATTCAAGATTGTACATATCCTTTTTGATAAAACCGATTTTATCCATTCCTCCGGATTGCACCTCGAAAATACTTACCTTCTGATTAATGGGAATATTAACCGAACCCAACTGTTTTGTGAGTACTTTTGTAGAATCTGAGATACGACGGTGTGATCTCAGTAAATGCATTCTTCCTGAGGGTGTCACCTTATGATTGTGTCCCTCTGCAAAAAGAGAGATGGTATACTTCTTGCTCCCATGTGTCTTCATAACCACAATCTTAGCTTTGCAATTACATCTACTTATTCCCCGCTGTCTTTTTCTCTCCCGAGTTTCATCCTTCCGGTATGCACCTTGTTTGCAACATACAAATTCTTTTCTCAGAATCTCTTTCTTATTTTTCCGCCAAAAGCTGGAATGAAGTCGAATACCAAAGCCAGCCAAGAATGCATATCTATTATAGAAATTATAAACGAGGTCAAGCGAGTCGAACTTCATCCCAACTGCTGGTGTTTCCTCATTTCTTACTTCAGGAATGTAAACCCTCCCATTAGCTGTTACAGAGTCATCACTCTCTGAGCCCCCAGACATTTTATCCACGTATATAATTGATCTACTTCTAGATTACTGCATAGCAAATGTTAATTCATTAATCAATCATTACTGCATCACAACTTATCAATGCATTCCACTTACACAAAACATTGCCCAAATTGACACAATACACGCATAGCCTAGCTTGTTGGATTCTGATTACACAAAACACAAGCAAAATTTAATAATAGTTACGTCATCTCTTGTGAAATAATCTGGAAAAAATAACATTAGAACCAACATGTTCAACTAAGAACTCAAATGTAATTCAAACTAGCAATTATAGAACTTCACCCAATATTCTCTCCAAATGCTTACTCCTAATGCCATTAAGCCTAAGTTTAGGATCTTTTACCTACATTTCATAATTTTCCAACCCCCCTCCAAAAAAAAATAATCAACTAAGTATATTGAATATTCATAAGGAAATGACGCATTATTGATGCCACAAATGACAAATTTCTCACCCTCACAAAAAACAAATCAAACCCAACAAAATCAATCCAGCAAGAGTGAACTTACCTCTCAAAGTCAATCGGGAGCTCCGAAGTCAGTCAGCTTGAGAGAATGTGGTGGACATTAGAGAGGATTCTTTCGTAGTGGAGACTCCATCTCTACCAATCGAGGAACAACTGCAGCAGCACAAAAAAGAGATATGCTACTTTGCTTTCATCTGGAATCCCTTCTGCTAAATGAAAAAGAGAAGGGGTTTTCACTTGAATCATCGAATCAAAACAGGGCAATAGCTAGGTAAAAGCCATTAATCGTCATACCAAGGATACCATAGATCGCAGACTTCCTAAGGAGCTGATGACAATGGAGCGATTATAGAGTTTGGGAGCTTTGGATCTTTCTAATTGTGGATTTGCATTACATTAAAAAAAAGAGGATTGTGTTCTTGAGTTTTTCACAGAGAGGGAAAAATCTTCAGCTGAAGTTGGGTTTCCAAACGGGTCAGATTTCAACCCGGTTCTACATGCACCCTCTTTTAAAAACTCACCGTTGGATGAAATCCAACGGCTCTTACATACCTCTCAAAAAAACCCCTTATAACTTTCCACTCACTATAGAAGCACTCCAATTTTTCGCTCTATTGGGTATTTAATTTCGCACAGCCCAACTCTTTTATTTTGAAGGTAAAAGCTTCAGGCGCAATTTGCTACTTTTTTCCTTTGAAGGCATGGATTTACCCAAAGTCCATTTTGGCCCAAACAATACCTACATGAAAAACATAGTGAAAATATGCAATTGTAAAAATACGAATGACATCGTGTATTATTATGCAAATTATTTATATATAAAAAATGTCAAGAAATACGGCCATTATAATATTTTAATATTATTTATCTGAAAATTTTAAGTCTTTATTCAATATAATACGTTAATTTTATATGTACTATTCAAGAATTTGTAAAAACAAACATGTAGTAAAAGTAAAATACATACATGTGTATAATATATGTATAATACATTTGATTTGTTTTATATAATACGCAAATTTAACTAAGCTGACATATTATCACCTAGTCGTTAAAATTCGTTTTTTCTTTTGGGTATGCCCAAAGACGGTCAATGTTTTTGGAGCCCTTTCAGAAGTCAAGCAAGGAGCTGCCTATTAAATAAATGTCCATGAAGCTGATGGTATTGAAGAGCACGCATATCATGCAGCCTGTCAAACAAATCAATGTCCATGAAGCAACTTACATGTAATTCTACTACAAGCTTGAACAAAGTCCAAACCAAACCAAGAAAAGTTTATTACATGTTCTTCAATCAGATAAATCTAAATCCATTTTAGCCTTCATCTTATTCTCAGAAGCTCCATGGTAATTTCAGGTTACGAGCACCCTTCGGTGTCCACCTTCCAGTTGACAGCTCAACCTACCTTCCATCTGTAACTGTAACCACCATATCTACATCCTAGTTGGATATTTCAAGTGGATTCCACCCTTGAAATAGGGCTCACCTTCAGAATTTCTGTACTACATGCATTTTATACTCGGAAGGGTTCACTTCCCTCCATTGTAAACGTTAAAACAACAAAAAATTAAAAGACGAGGAAAAAAAAGTAGGTGTGGAAGGCAGAGAATACTCACTGCTATGGTTGAACTGCCATTGCAACTCTCAGTCATGTACATAGGGATTTCATGGTAGTTATACAGTTACCAGAAACAAGCATGTTTATCTAATAACAATATTTATAAGACAGAAATTTGCCGCTAGCAAGTATTACAAAACTATTGCACATAATACATGATACATTAGATGTAGATGGGACAGAGAAACCTTGTTCCAACAGCCAGAAGAAATGCGAAAAGCCGTCAGAGGAGTCTCATCTCCCACATTTTTCAATTGTATCCAAAAGAAAAGACGGTTTTATCTGACAATATTGACCCTAATACTCACAATGATTACAATTATCACTGTCGCCCATTTCCAGGCGTTGACCATTGAGGCAGCACTCTTCCACCAGCATTCTGATTAGTTTTCATATCCGAAGCATTCACTTCAAAGTCATAGCAATATAAGTCTAGTTCATCATCTATCAATTGGGGGTAATCAGGCTCCGCATAACTATAGGCCTCAATAGTTTTGTTCTGCCTCTTTGGTGCCTTTTTCCTTGACCGATCTGTGCTTTTGGTGAAGTCGTCGTCATCAAAATTTTCATTCCCATTGTTGTTGCCATCTCTTTTCCTCTTCATATCATTACTGTCATTGCAACTGGTGCTGTTTTTATCTGTTTTGTAGTATTCCTTTATGGCAGCTTCAATTGTTTCAAGTATCCGATCTCCATACTTGGCCAACTTACCCCTGAATTGAGCCAAAAATGTTGAGTATATTTATTGTTAGGTAGGCAGAAAATAATCTTGTTACGGTATAACTTACTTGCCAATGCCATTTATTTCAAGGAGTTCCTCCTTCGTTCTAGGAATTCTGCTGCTCATGTTCTGCAGCGTGGTATTCCTGACTCAAAAAGAACAGCAACTTATCAGAAGATATCATCTAAAGATCAAAGGACAAGTAGACTTATAAAAACCCCTCGTTATAAAATTCCAACTCCGAATGATTAGCAACTTTTCCCAAGTAGTTTCCTTCCTCTCCTCCAGAAACAAATTGGTATTAAATAGATTTATTCTATTAAGTCGCAAACAAAAATAAAAAAGAGTAAGAATCTTACGCAAATATGTGGTATGCCATGACCCCATCAGCAGATTCTCTAACGAGATTAGTTCGAAGCATTTTTAAAGAAGTAAATATTTTGGTAGATAGATCCTGTTATGAAATTTAAAAGAAATTAATTAATTGATATAGCTCAATTCAGCCCTCATGGTAGTCAGATATTTCATCAAGCAGAATAGGGTCCTGACAAAAGGAATAAATATACATGTGCATATGTGTCTTGCCAACATACATACATATATATATATATATATATATATATAACATA